AGACTTCCTTCCTTCAGGAGGAAACAAGAGCAGTCCACATACGAAAAATTGTGCCCACATTCTCTGTAAGTGCACCCAATTTGCTTCTTATCTCTCTGTTCTTTGCAAAATTACAAGTGGAATACAAAGACTCAGTTATCAGGTTTTAATTTAATTCAGTTACTTAATCAGCAAGAATATAAATCACTCATTAGGTGGAGAATACTTTGGGGGAAAGGAATATAGCAACTAGTCATGTTTACTTTGTTGGTTTTCTTCATAGCCATTCTCTCCTCTCTTGTCACATCTATACCTTCTAAGCTGCTACACATAAAAGAAATCCAAATTTTCTCTTTACGTTTTAATCTCATCTTTGATGTGTAGCTGTAGGCTTAACACTGAGGAATGATAACAAATGAAATATTATACTTTTTTAATATGATATATTTAACTTGCGATTTATCTTTTAATATCTATTTCAGAGACTATTTGACAGGAGTAAATAAACGAGGGCTTCCCGGCAAGAAAAACTGTGATTTATGAAACATTTTATTATTTGTTCTCTTAAGAACCTTCTTGAGAATACCACTAACATCATGAGCTATGCAGTCCTATCCCACCACCTTACTCATAGTCAATTAGAAAACTGTACCAATAATAATGTAAAATAAATTACCTAGCTTCTCTTCCTGAAGCATAGATTTCAATGTTTGTCAAAGCATCTATGTGTACAAACAGCACTGCAGTGTTTTTCATTAAGCCTTAAAGTCAATTAAGCTACGAATTGGAACAATCATTCCTCCTTTGCAAAGTATTGATATTTTTTTCTTGGCTGCTTTCAAGCCTTTTCACTACTCAAGGAGAGATTTATGTTTGACAATTTCTTTCTGATTAAAATGAATCATAACTCTAGAATTCTAATTTCCTCTTTTCTGAGCAAGAAATTATCAAACAGTTTTAAATTGATTTTGAATGTCATCGTGCATGAACAACATTCATTTTCAAGATATCAACTGTAAAGCATACTGATCTCTCTTTTATCTGCTTTTACACACTTTCTCTTGCTTTCTCTCTATACATTTAAAGACATTAAATTGTACAAGGATAATATACCTTTCTAAAAAAATTATATATGACAGACTAGCTACATCAGTCACATTAAACTTGTCACAATGCTTTACATACAAAGCAATTACCTCTCTATTTGCAACATTAGCAAAAAATCCACTTCAGTAGGAAAATAACTGGAATGCTGCAGCTTGCAAATAAATGCCAGTTATCTAAAGTAATTTGCAGGTTTCTATGGCTCATCCTTGGACAAGCAGCTCCAACTTCCTATAAAGCAGCTCTTTTGACACAGATTATTAAAATCAGTTTTCTAGATTTGTCTCCAGTAGTCAAATAAGATCAGTGAAAAATTGTTTTAAAATATCCAGAATAGTAGAAAAAAATTATTTCTCTCATCATTCCTCCTCCTTTCTCTAAATCCTAATAGCTGGATTTTTTGGTGCATGTTGCCTTCCAATTTTCACATATAACCTTAAATTTCAGCTTTTACCATGTAGGTCACTTCAAAAGTAATGCCTCCTGTACTTTCTGTTGAAATAAACAAGACATACAAAGAGCACAGTGACACTATTTGATAGAGAAAATTCTCTGCTACAACATGCTATTTTCAGCATGTTCAACATCATTAATTCTGCATTTTTGCCAGCAATGAACAAGAGCTGCATGCTGCACTCGTAACAATCTGTACCAGTGGAGGTGACCCACTGTTGCTGTCGCCACTGCTGAAATTCACCACCCACTGCCTTGTTGTGCTCCATAAACATTCAGCAAGTTATGAATGTCAACGGGTGCCATCTTTTCTGCATGGAGAAATTCAGTTTCCCCTCTTTGCTGCATCTGCACTTCCATGTCAGACATCATTTTGTCAGTCCACCCCTCTGCTGTTATCTGTCACACAGCAACAAAATGGAATGGAATATTGGTGGAAAGTTCATCCTCTACGGCCATACCACCAACATCCACCTCTAACACCGTGGGCCAACATAATAAAATAGGAGGCATTACTTTCAGAGCAGACCTTGTGGAAGTTTTGCGGCTTTATTTTTATACAGATCATCAACTAGATAGTGGTACCAAATTGGAAATAATGTCAGTTTATATATTTTTAATACTTTTGTCTTCTTGCAAAGAGCTCTAGTTGCTTCTTTCATAAGGAATTACAGATACTCCATGAGATGACAAATGGCATAAAAAAGGAAATCTTCTCTGTCAGAAATTTAAACCTCAAGTTTTAAGGCATGCTGTCCCACAGAAGAGCCAGCACAGCATGCATATGGCTTCTGGTAATATTTTTGCTATAGTTAAGAAACACATATTTTATTTCTAACACGGTACACTTGAAGCACATTAACACACCAGCATTCCACACAGCAACAATTTTTTGAGTTGTAGAAATGTACTTCTGCAGATTAGAAGAAAATTTGGGTTTGGACATTCAGTTGAAAAGCAGGCACTTATTTAACAAATTTCTATGCTTCAACATCGTGGACAAAGACTGTATTTAAAGTACAGCTTAGAAACAAATTCAATGCAAGCAGGTAGCATAACTGCTGCCAAAAACACTGAGCAAAATGAACACGAAGCTTTGTAAGGCTGCATCTTAAACAGCTTTCTTTTTTTTTTTTTTTTTTAATTGATTCCAAATTGAAAAGTAAAGCTCAAGTAAACCCATTTCCTTTTAATTATTTTGCTTTCCCTAGGAACAAGGGAGTCAAAATACTGTGGATATTTTGAAGTCCTTTATGGTACAGTACTTCCAGCCAAATTTTCAGAACTCATCTGAACCTTATAACATATAACTGCTAACATTTTTCTGGAACCTTAATTTTAGGAAAGAATTACCTATTAACAACTTCCTGGTCTGTTCTGACATCTGTAAGCTAAAAAAATAATATTTTATGTCAATATTTTAATATTAGTATCAATTAACCAAATTAATCTTTGTCTCTGTTTTCAATAAACAGGGCAAGTTTTGTGTTTTCCTTAAGATTGCTTACAATTCGATGTAAATTTTAAGCTTCTTGTAATTCATCAACTAATTCTCTCCTGGTTACACATTCCAAGTAATTAAAGTTCAGTAATAACTTATTCTTTCTGCTCCAGCACCTGCATTTCATTTGTTTATTTTCCCAGAGTCATAAATCTGAAGGACTGTCAAAGTGCCATAATATTAGCGCAATAATCAAAGTTAATTAGTCCCTCTTAATAAACAACAACAAAGCCATTATAAAGATGCATTGAAGGTTTTCCAGCTACCCAGTTTACAGATGAGATTATTTTCTGAACAATTAGAATTTGAAAACTGTTAGTAAATAAGTGTAGTGTTTCTGAAGTCATTTGAAATTCAGTGATCTTCATTCAATTACAAATTCATTAACTTCTGGTGAAGAAATACAAGCTCTAAAACTAGTACTCCTAAATTCACACGGCCTTCAAAATGCTTAAGATAAGCTTAGAATTAAGGGAGCAATGTGGTATTTTACACTAAAATAAAAGAGCGCTGAGTATCTTTTATCCTAAATTTAAAAAGAAAAAAAAAAAATCATAGAACAGCTTGGGTTGGAAGGAATCCCAAAGATCATCTAGCTCCAACCCCATGCCACAGGCAGGTTTGCCAACCGCTACATCAGGCAATAGATGAGGCTGGCCAGGGCTCCATCCAACCTGGCCTTGAACATCTCCAAGAATGGGAATACCTCCAAACCATTCCCAGAGCAAGGAAACAGACAGGCAAACATTAAGCCTTATGCCCCATGCTCACCCATAAAGGAATTCTCTTAGAATTTCACATCTTTGAAACAAACAAACAAAAAGATAGCCTTAATGTGAAGTACAGAAAAGAAGATTTTTTTTGCCTCTCAATTCTTTACTGTAAGTCGTTAATATCATCCGAGCAAGAGAAGAATATCTGAAGCCAAAGATTTTGTTTCTTGAAGAAAATTGTGGTTACAAATGTTAGCAGCATTATAAGCATTACTTGTTTAGAAAGTAAGCAAGCATTGTTTGTTTTGCACTAATAAATATCTGTAGACTAACTATGTGTAAATATTAATAATACCAATGCTCCTCCATATCTTCTGAGAGCAGCCAAAATATTTTCAGAGATTGAGAAACAGAGCTAGAACATTCATCAATAATTCTAGCAGGACAGAAATGAAATTCCAAGAACTTGACCCTGCAGTTTATTACTTAGAGCATACAGAACTGTGTCAACAGATTAACTCCTGAAGTCAGCAATCAAAGCAAGTTTGGACAAAACTAGCCTTACTAGCAAGTGAATGTTTGTATGAGGAATAAATTAAGAACACTGAACACATTGAAATAAGGGCATTAGAAGACCCCCCCAAAAAATAGGGAGAGGAGAGCTAGGAGAAGGAGAGAAACAAGTGAATAGAAGGCACTGAGGGGCTTGTATTTTGTAACAAAATGGAAGAAAAATGAATGAAAGAGGGAAGAAATGTGAAGGAATTGAGACAAACTACCTGTAGCAGTGGTGTTCTGCCTGGTGGATAGGGAAAGGAGAGAAACCCCTTTGGTTTTTGAGAAGTGTAAGAATGATTCCCTGTAATCTCCCATAGTACAAAAACTACAGACAAACAAATGGCTGTGAGTATGTTCTCCTTCAGATTGTTACAGGCTTTGGTTCTGGAATTACCCTGTCCTTTCAACTATGAAATGCGCCTTAGTGGTTCTTTCAAACTTACAAAGCTTTTGTATATTCTTATATAACAATATGTCAAGCCTTACAATCCAGCACAATTATATGAAATGAAAAATCTCCACCACTGAAGCAGAAGTGACCAAACAGTATATTACAAAGTAAGAAGACGCCCTTTTCCTTAGATTCTTGCATGACAACGTAAGTACCTATTAAACTGCTTGTGCATCAAAAACGACTTCATATACTGACAAACACAGTTTAATGTTGGACATTATAAGCAGCATTCACTTACCCATTCCTCAAGAATGCGTTGTACAGCATCATTGCCTCTTGACATATTCCTGCAGGCCAGGATAACGTGAGCTCCATGCAGCGCCAAAGACTTTGCTGTTTCAAAACCTACAATAAAGCATTTTCCTAGTCAGAAACAGATCTCAGTAACAAAAGAGAGCTATATCATTAGAAAAACAGGTGAGGCACATACTGAAGTACTCTAACACTACCTGCTGTCTGACTTAGTACAAACTTGGTCAACTGGACCCAGCTGCTCCGAGTACAGAGAGAAAAAAGTACAGACCACTTTAAGCAGGACTATAATTGTATACGTTTTGCTCAATAGGCTTGGGGACTTCAAAACACAGATTCCAATTTCTCTTTCTACCTTCAACTGTTAAGAAAGTAGAACTCTACTTAATTCCTTACTCGCTTGACTGTGAGGTATAAACAGGAATAAGCTGGAATAGTAAGACTGCAAACCTGTTATGTCTGGCAAGAGCACAATGAAAGTGAAAGAGTACTGTAAAACCAAGTTCTGGGTGCTCCAGATGCACTTAGCCTTTGGCTCATCAGTTTGAGAGCCACCTGTGGCAGCAGTGATCACCCAGAGGGACATAAGAGGGAACAACAGTAAAAGTCACATGGAGGTAATTGCTCCTTTTTCACAGCACTACCCAATCTCTCAGACACTTCTGCCAAAAAATGCAGACAAGAGAAATACCAAAGTGTCAAACCACTCCTGGGAAAGAGTTGCCCAGTTCACTCTTAGAAAATTAGGTTCTACCAAGATAGATTACAATCTACTACAGCATTTTATTATACAAGCAGTTTAAAATCTTTGCTAAAGATTTTGTTCAAATGATCTGGGTACAGTAACCTCATTTTTTCATCACCTAATGCCTAGCAACTTCTCACAACTGTCTCATGAATAACCAACTAAATGCTGTGCACTTTCGATACACTGGGTATAGTATTGTAGACTAAACGGTTCACTGGATTAACCTGATGATACAATGAAAAACTAATCTATGAAAAAAAAAATCCTTCTTTTGGGTAAACCAGTGGGCATGACAGTCTGCAAGCACATTCTTTCCAAAACAACAGGAAAGATATTCACATTTTACTGCTGTGTGACATTAATGAATATCCCTTTTTTTTTTTTTTCCAAACTTACACACATACAGTGAATTTCCAAGCCTCTATATAAACTTGTTGGCAATACTATAAATCAGTTCTTCCCTATTCTCAATCTGGGCACTTAATTTCTCCTTTCCAAAAAGGCACTTCAGATTAATTTCCATTTGTTAATTTGGACTGTCTTGAAATTTAATGAAATCAATTCAAATTATGGAATTATCCACCAAGAGCTGCAGATATCCACCCTTGCATCATATGCAAGCTATGTAAGTGTGCTCTGTTTTGCTGCCCAATTCATTAATGAAAAGCTGCCTAGAAGCTGGTCCAAGATAAACTTTATTTAATTAGAAAGATCTGTGACAATTTACAACAGGAGACTGATGAGTTCTTGGGAGCACAGAAAGCTTATAAAGCACAGAGACTTGAGCCAGAAACTAGGTTTCTATCAGGGTGAGCTATTCCATGCTTGTGATCTATTCAATAGTACCACTGGGTGCCCATTTCCATGGAAAACTCTAACAATGGAACTCTTTGAAAGAATCATAACATAACTTAATGAATTCAAATTAGACAAGCTTAAACTAGAAAACGAAGAATCAAACTGAAATGCCCAGCAATTTAAGCATGTGAATAAGTCAAGGAGAAGAGGTATTTGCTTTAGATTTATAATATTTAAAGCATGTTCATGTTTTCATTTTAAAATTTGTTTACCAAAAAAACCTATTAAGATAGGCTGTCTCACTTCCAAAACACCCTGGAGCAACAAAACTCAGAGCACAAGATGTAGCTTCCATTATAGAAACAAGAGACACCAAGACAAATTTAGACCATTTTCTGCAATTACATACTTATGGTATTTAAGTCCAAGTAATTTTCTTCCATCTCTTTTAAAGCCATTCATTGTACCAAGCAACTTTAATTACCTGGGTAATTCATTGCATGCACATGAATTCAGCTACAGCATGTGCAAAGATTTCCTCTGTTCCTAATTCTACTTTAAGTGTATTTAATTAGAATTTTTCATATAACTGAAGTAAGATACATTGTACCACAGCACTATTAGCTAAGTGTATGCTTCCTGTTTTGCACAAAAGAAAACAACACATTCTTAACATCCTACCATATTATTAAAACTAGAGAAATGCCTGGAATATTTACTGTACTGTTATACAAAGACAGCCAGTTTAATTTGCTGAGTATGATGATGTTTAGCTAACCGTACTCCATGTCACACGTTGCACACAATAATAAATTCCATGTCATTCTCATTTACGGTTAATAACTTGATTATAAATTAAACTGAAAACGATTGAAATCGAACTAATTACAAACTCCAAATTCAGTTAATAATACCACTTTGATTTTTCTTGCAAAGCCAGTGACTAAAACCTTCCCTCTAGTACTTACTCCTCTTGGCTCCACCAGAGGATTATTCTTCACCCATAGGCAGATGCATTCTGAATCTTTCCACGAAATTAAGCGCTTAAAAAACCCTCTGGCTGAATTTTTAACCAGCAGTCTCTCTTTCCATTCAAAATACAGCCATGGGTCAAGTGGTGATGGGTCCATCACCACAACATTTGTTATACTCACATAACAAATTACTAACTCATTCATATACACACTGTATTTAGAACAGTTAGATTTGTGCAAAAAGAGAAAAATAAATCCAGGTATCCCAAACCACACAATTACTCCAATTCAGCAACCGAATTATTAGCTTTGTAGGGATTGCACATAACCATTATGACTTGGTCTTTCTTTCTCTTAGTTTGTGTGAAGCATAATCATTCCAGACTGTCTACCGAATGAAAATTATCAACAATAAGAGGCAACATGATGACTACATCATAGAATTCACTAGGGATTAAGTTAGAACTACCTGTTGAGTTGCCCAGCCCTCTCAAGAGGCAGCATTTTTAGATATGTCCTTAAAATAGATCTAAATAGGCCTGAAAGCTCCTAATAAGCAGTGAAATTAATTACCTTCACACTTTATCGAGTAACTAGGCAGGAGCTTAGAAAACTGCAATTTCAAACTGAAATTCCTGAAGTAAAATTTAGGAAGTATCTTGGTTTTCAAGCCCTTCTTATCGCTTTAGCTCTTTGTTTCTCCTGCAGAATTTAACCCTTCTTTCCTCCTTCAGTGTCACATACATAACAGAAAGGGAGAGAAGCTTCTAAAATAGTGGAAAACTTAACAGACTCACGCTGTTAAATCAAGTTTGTCAACACTATTTGTGCTTCAGCAAAATGGAGCAGTGTTTTCAACACACAGCAAAGCATTTTAAAACCTACGCCTCACAAAGGGACTGAGTATTTTAAGTACAAAACCATTTAAGTTCTAGGAAGAGAAACCTTACTTGTCTGTAAGAAAATACATTAATCAAAATACGTGTTCAATGTGGTTTCATACAACAGAGTTAAATCACAAATTTAAAAACACGCTCAAACATTCGAAGAGTCATAGCAGGATAAATAAAAAGAGAAATTCACATGATTATGTTAAGGAAGTGCATTGTTGATGGAATAGAACAACCTCAGTTCCACCCATAAGAGTAACTCACAGAGTTCAAAAGAACCAAACGCTTCTTAAAATAATTTCACTTGCAAAGTTAAAAAAAAAAACTTGAATATCCTTTCATAGAGAATATACTGCATCATCACCCATTACATATTATTTGTGAGTTTGTTATTTCAGCAATTGTTGTTGCTGGGATGGGTTTTGGTTTTGTTTCTTAGTGTTTTTGTTTATTTAAAAGCATGTAAAACCTCATTAAAAATACAGCACATGAGAATGCACATGAACATTAAGGATTGCCAGTTACGAAAAACAAGGAAATGCTTCCCCAAATGTGACAGGAGAACAATATATATGCTGGAATAGCAACCACATTATATTTAAATTTTAAATACAATACATTGTTCAGTAAAACATTTTCTAAAACTAAGACAAATTTCAAGTGATTACCCTGGAAATTTCGAGAGGTGAGAGCTTTCTGAGGTCACTACTCCTGTTCCTTAATGAGTTCTAATTTGACACTCTGAAATGACAACCTGTTTCAGAGCTACATTAAGTAAATACTATAGCACAGCTTTTCACTTCAGCAAAGAACATAAAAGACTGATAGTAGAACTAATAAGGGCTACCTGGACAGTAAGCATATGGGATTTCCTGCAGGCATTTAAAACCTTTCAGCCCTTTATTTACATCAAAGACTCAAGAAATAGCACCTGATTTCATTTTTCATAGTCTATGATTTTTCAACACCATAGTCTCACTTTATCTATCCACAACTGACTTCTGTCAGTGAGTTTGGGGACAGATTTTCAGCTAATGGTCTCACTTAATAAGCAGTTTGCATTGTTCAATTAATGCCAACTCAACATAAGCCAAATGAGCGTATGGGTCTGTCACACAGTACAACCTCCTCTATAAAACAAAGAAAATAATTCATTGAGTGGAAAAGTAATTTGATGATTTATTAATTAAGGGGCAGCACAGAGTCCACTTACCATTAGCTTGTAGAGCACTTTGTAAAGAATTTGCATCAGGCATTTAAATGTTTGGAAGTAGCATTTTTTTTTTTATTCTAAACATAGATAAGAAATTTTGAATACACAAAAAGAAATTCAGAAACATTTCAGACAATAGCAAGACTTTCAGCTTCTCTGCCTTCTCTGAAACGCTCCACAAAACCTTGGATCTGTCACTTACAACACATACAAACAGCAGAGTTGACATCTTTCTTTCCAAAAGCTCAGTCCTCTTATTTAAGAGCCTACAGGGTTTGTTTGCCTTTAGCTTCTTCAAAATGATTTCTTCCCTTCTCTCCATTGATAGAAGAGCTCCGGAGGCCCTGAGGTTCTTCCCATGTGCTTCAGTAACAATTTCAAGCTGTCATGACTCCAGCCTTCCTTGAGCCCTATGTCACAGGCCGTCTGAATGTAAACTACAAGGAATTCCAGAAGAAAGCCTTCTTATC